GTATCCATTTCTCAATGATGGAGAAGAATTGCGGGAGAGCAGTGCTGGTTTTTTCTCGTCGTCATTGGGACGAACGGCCATGGTCGTCCGACCTGGAGAGAACGGTCACACCCGCAGTCACCACCCAACAAAAAAACGCCGTCGCTCGTAAGCGTCCTTTCGCTGACGTCTACTTCATCTGTCTTTTCATAGCTCGACCGCCAAGTTTGAGGACGGGAATTCAAAAGAAACCAATTTTCATCACCCGAGTGGAAAGAACGATTCTTGAGGTACACATTCAGTGCATAATATTAGGCTAATCTAATGAATGACCTCCACGAAAGAACTCGCCAGTTGAATAGAACTGGTAACACCTGAACATGGATAAAAAGTGTATTGGACTCGAATGAAGTCCGGCAATCATACAGAAAAAGATCCTTGTGCACAAGGAGTGGCCAATCTTCGAGGAGTTTATTTATGGTACCAATTGGAGGCAGCCCACCGCAGTTACACTTTGTGGAGGTTTTCATGGGATGAATTTGCGGTGGTTGTATTTTACATCGTCAATTATCGTCAAAACTGCCAATGTCTACACCCACCTGCAGGAAAACTTTCTCAAATCATGGCTGATGTTCGGAAACAAGAGAAACTTGAGAAAACGGGTTTCAACTCAACGGCGCTGCGAAGAATTCTGCCGCTATTGGTGGGTTTCCTTGTAAAAATTGCCCTTCCCACTTCTTCATGTGTCTTTATGAAATTGCCGAATGATGAGCGAAATGTCGTCTTCGAGGAAAACTGGAAATTGCAGCGAAATTCAACTGAGTTTCAAAGTGCAGACTTGTTCATTTCAGCGGCTAATAAAACTTTGATAGGAGTAATTGGGAACCAATTAGATGGGAGAATTGTACAGTTTATTCATGCGCTTTGCCTTGACAGCCAAAAGAAGTTATCAAAAGCTCGAGTCAAATGTTTTCTAGAATGCGATTCCCGCTCCTGGTGAAAGCGGCTTAGCAATAATCGCGTTCACTTCAAGAAGGAGGGCGGAGTGATTGAGGTACGCAAAAATCATCGAAGTTTGTTGGATTACCTACCTTTTATCACCAGATGTGATAGTTTGTCCGTTTTAGCAGGGTAACTCTATAAATTAAAATCATTTAAGCGAATTCATGTAATGCTCCAAAGTACCGTATGGTAGCTGGCCCCCGGGCTACACATGGCAGCGGGCTTACTCCAATTTTGAGCGCTACAAGCTGTCATGATTAACCATTCCCGCGCTCGGAAGAGTTTTTTCACACTGCCTTCGTCTGAATTACCGTAGTCACGTACTACAAGCGCTAGAGTGCGGCAATTGAGTTAGACTCTGGTCTGTTCAAAGGATAAAAGGATAAAGCATTTGCCGTTGATCAATCCCTTTTTGGGATGCGGCACGCATTCTACTTCCATTTGTACATTCGTAGTGGCGTTTGAATGCGATGTGGCCTATACAATGACTTGCGGGGCCAGCCGATGTACAAGTCAGTGTTTTTATCCTCCCAGACAAGTCTGGTACCAATTAACCGACCCCGGAGGGATGGAAGGCTTGGTTGGCCCGGGCGACTCACGACCCAGGATTTGATCCCCGGACCGCTCGCGTGGTAAGCGTGCCACTTGCCACTACACCACTTCCGCCCATATGGGCGGAAGTGGTCTGTTCGAAGGCACTTCAAAAATTTTCCAGTTTCTGCTAAGACCCTCGACGAAGAATAGAGAAGGAGCTCGCTAGTGCCATAAATCCAGTGCATAATTCACTCTTTCATCTGTTCTCTTCTTAGATTAGTCACTGCAAGTCTACAGCCATACCACAAAAGTATTCAGCTCATCGTCTACAGGAAAACAGGTCATGTAGCGAACTGAACGACAGCAACGTATAGCAATCATATCAAATTGCTGTGAACATTCGTCATGATTGGTATTGTGAAGAAGTCTTTATTACGTGGATGGATACGTCACATAGATGAAATGAAGAAAGCCTGTGGAAAAACTCGTGGTCGAAGTGGAACCGACTTTGATCGATACGAATTCCTCCGGCTCGGTTCGCCGTTGAAAATTTATTTCAGTTTCGTAGTAGCGATTAGCAACGTTCAGAGTGCATCTTTTCCACCACGCCTGACACCACTGTCAGCGATTAAAGTTCACCAACAAAAAACTATGCCGTCAGACAATCGTAAATCCAAAACGCAGCCAAAGCTAATTCGATAGCTACTAGCGGTAAAGGAAATGAGATAGGCGACCTCGCAGATGATTACCTCTCGAAGAGTTGTCGGAAAACGCCCGACGTCCTTCGCTGGAATGTTTTAGGTGAGGAAAAACAGCAACAACGTTGAACCTAAACTCAAAGTTACTTGAACAGGAACAAGGACATTAATGGCAAATGATAATGAAATGCTTGTTAATGGCCAGCCTTTGACTTGCGGCATCACTGCTTTCCATGGAATCCTCCTAACGTTTCGGTCTCGTTTCTCAGTTCTACTTTTGCCTCTGGCTCTTTCGCTTTTCCCATAGGCTCTGATAGCAGTCGTTTTCCGAAGGAGCACGCAATTCTTGAGTTTCTAGACCTTTGAACGATTACATGATTTGTTCGTTCTTGATGTTCACGTACGCGATCGTGTTCTAATTTTAGCAGCATGATCGCATTGAGAAGATTTCGAGCAAATTGTCAAGAGCGACACTCGCTCAGCAAGCTAATTCTTCTTAAAAAATGATCTCTTCATTTCAAATGATTTTGAAGGTATGGCGAATTTGAACACAAAAACTGATAGAGATTTGTATGGTAGACTCTTAAATCTTCCGGACTCGTGCAGAAAACTTCTTTCCAATTTTATACCCAGGACAACGTCTGATATAAAAGTGGAACCCAAAACCCTGAGATGCGAGTCACTATCTCATCTCATTTTTTGAATAATTGGATAATTAATAAATAATGATAAGATTAAGCGAGGGGGAGACAACTGCAGCGATGACGCTGTGACAATTGCCACCACTTGCCATGTGCATCGCGGGGATCGGGTGCTAGACAGGAGACCCTTCACAAGCCAAGAAGGCAGGTCAGCGGACGAGTCGCAGCGCGTACTGTAGGATTTCGCGTCAAGTTAAATAGAATGTCCCATTGCACGTCCTACATCGCACATCACGCGCTGCGACTCGTCCGCTGACTCTGCCTTCTTGCCGCGCGTCGGGCCTCCTTTCGAGTACCGGTGGAGATCAGATCACGAATCTAATCTCGCCCTGACCAAACCGAGCCTTCCATTTCCTCAGGGATAGTCAAATTGATATCAGACCAAACAGAAAAGGCAAAAATACCAACATACGTTGCAAGGGGCGAGGCGCATTGAGGTGACACAATGAGGTTGAATGCCTGGCGCAACCTGACGAATGCCCGTTGTCAATTACAGGTTCTACACCCAGCGCACTTGAAAGACCGATCGATTTCGAACAGTGAATGTGTCGAAAAGATCAGCTGAAGGGAGAACTATTTTTTCCTCTGAGAAAAATGCTTGCTACACGACGCTATCACGTAAGGATGACTGAGAAACCATTTGGAGAGCCTGTCAGAGCGCTCATGAGAGAACCACGACAGTCGCGTTCGACTGCTTTTTTTCACTCTATGGGGTCCATTGAGCACAAACATGTGAGTGCAGAACGTTCAGCGAAGTGACACCTTCGGTCATCGCACGGGTGCGGCAAAAATGTCGCGAGTGCAAGTGAGACCACGAGTGACGACAGAAGCAAAAGCAAGACATAAGGTGAAAGCGTGCCAATCTCGCCCTCTTTCCAAAATTATTGTGGCATTTCGAAGTTTTTCTGACACTTGGAGAATGAAGAAGTTTTACAGCTACAAAACGCCTAATGAATCGCTCAATGGCCTACGTAGGAGAGAATTGTTGAGTTTTCAGTGAGCTTTTTTATTAGACCTTTAATTATAACAGTTGAGTGATGTAAAACTTCGTGTTTCTTACATTTGCCTTAAGGACAATGTTATAAATAAACAGTCAACAATAAACTTATAACAAGATATTATGAAAACACGTGTAAGGAGTTTCATAGCGAATTTCATAGAAATAACTCCCACTCATTTCGGAAAGCCTTTTATTTCATAGAATTCCCAAAACTTCCAAGGTCGCCCTATAAAATATTTCACAAAACAATCACAAATCACAATTCTGTGGGAAATGTCGTCCACGGTCGGACCAAGATTTCCCACAGAATGGCATTTTTGTGAAAATGTGTGAAACCAGAGAAGGATAGAATGAAGAAAAAGTAAGCAGTAGGGATTTCGAACTTGGTAAAATTCCTCCCAAAACGACCGAACCTTTCGCTACTGTGAGGAGAGCAGGTAATGACGACATAAACGTTGGATTTATAATAAGTACTCGGCCAAGAATTTATGAATTATATACTTCGAAATTATGCTACCTATACTACAATTACTTATTTTACTACAATCACTGTTACTACTTACACTACAATTACTTATATACTTTGAAAAATTTAAATGAGGCTGAATAAAATGACGCTTCTTACGAAAGAAAGAAGAGTGATTCCGGCCAATTGTCCGAAACATACGGACAGCAGAAGTGTGTGGAAATGCCGCAATGACCTCGGAAACAGGGGAAGATTGGCACGCTTTCACGTCCATGTTCTACTTTCGCTTCTGCCGTTACCCGCGGTACTGTGAATGCGGAAGCCCCTTTGCCTAACCACTTTCGAGCCTTTTTAAAAAAAGAAGTTTCATGGAGTTGAAGAAGTAAAGACAACGACGACGGTCTCTCAGGTTGCCTCGCTCTCACCTTGCTACTAGCACTCCTCAAGTTGAAATTCTCGTATGATGGTACTTTAATTTGGCGCTCTGTAACCCTATATGTGAACAGTGCAACATTCGTCTTCTTCACTAATGAGCGAAAGTTTACAGTTAGTGCTTGCGTCAGTAAGCGTGAATAGTGTGACCATAATTCGGTCGAACTACCACGCAACAAAAACGACAGCGATGGCTGGCCGAGCAGTGGGCGAGACCAGGGCGAGGTGGCGCTGAGAATACTCGGAAAAAAAGCGGCGGCTGCGAGTCACATAAAAGGCCCGCAATGGAGATGGCATCTCGCAGAGCGCGCCAACGCACTCAGACACGCGGCGTCGGCATGAATCTGGAACACCGCATCAAGGCCTATCGCTTCGTCACCTATTCGGCCGTCACCTTCTCAGTGGTGGCTGTCATCTCAGTATGCACGACACTGCCGATGGTCTATAACTATGTGCATCATGTGAAACGACTCATGCACAGTGAGATTAATTTCTGTAAGGTGAGCTACTTCACTTCTATCCGTTGGTTTTTATGGATTGGGTGATTTGTGTCTCTTAGGACTCAGCTCGCGATATCTGGTCAGAAGTTGGGCAACTCAAAACAATCTCACAACATTCGAACAGGACGGCAAGGCAGGCCGGGTACGGCAATTGCGCTGCGTGTTGCAGCGGTGGACAAGCTGGCCCTCCAGGAATGCCCGGAAACCCGGGTCGACCAGGAAACCCAGGAGCGCCTGGAATCCCCGGAAATCCTGGACGGCCACCTGTTCAGCCTTGCGACCCAATTCCAATCCCTCCATGCAAGCCGTGTCCTCAAGGACGACCTGGTCCTCCCGGCCCGGTTGGACCACCGGGAGAGCCTGGAACTCCTGGAAACCCTGGAGCACCAGGAAACGACGCGGCCCCAGGACCACCAGGACCAAAGGGACCTCCTGGACCACCAGGCAAAGCAGGACAACCAGGTGCTGCAGGACAACCAGGAGCAAATGCTCCTTCAGAGCCTCTCGTTCCTGGACCTCCTGGACCTCCAGGACCTACTGGACCGCAAGGGCCACCTGGACCAAATGGAGCACCCGGACATCCTGGTGCACCAGGTTTGTATAAATTTATTTTTCAAGGCCATAATAAATTTAAGTTATAATTTTGCGATTGTGTCACCGATCGAAACGCGGCAACGCCATATGATTTTGAAACGTTTTTCAGGAACACCTGGAGAGAAGGGTCCACGTGGACAAGATGGTCAGCCAGGAGCGCCTGGAAATGCCGGACATCCCGGACAACCAGGCCAGCCTGGACCTCCAGGAGAGCGTGGTGTCTGCCCGAAATACTGCTCAATCGATGGTGGTGTCTTCTTCGAAGATGGAACTCGTCGCTAGATGCTCAACTCACAGAGAGTCACGACATAAGAGGTCGTTACGATGCAAATCTCTATTACGTGGTAATAAATCTAGATTCACTGCGCAAACAAATACATATGCTAGCATAGGACGTTCGCAGCGATTCGAAAACGATTCGCAGAAGAACTGGAGAGGTAATTGCTCAAACAGGTCACACTCTGCACAGAACTCGTAACTGGCTGTTTGAATAATTGGTTGAGGAGAAAAGGAGCCTTTTTCTTACCTAAAAATACTGGCGTACGCCGTTAATTCACATAATGTGAGACTGCACTACTCAAGTCAATGACGACCCTCAATGGTACTCCGTCTTGGCGATACACACCGTTGCACAGCATGTTTGCACCTTTCTGTTTGGATAGCCAAATCAGCGAATTCTTAAGATAGAGAACTCCCTTAATGTGTATTACGTAGTGTAACATATCCCCATCATTTCAGGCGAAAGGAGCAGGGTTGATTCAATCTGACGGTTGAAGCGTTTGAAGGGATGTTCCGTTCTAATTATCAGAGAACCTATCGTCCGAAAAGGGAACATGAAAAAATGACGCAAATGGAGTCAACTGGCTCCACCCCACAACCGTCACTTAAAATTCCCCATGGACATGGAGGAGCACTGTTATTTTGAGTAAAATGAGTCTTGTTTTTGTTTGTTAATTGGTGTTTTGCCCGTAGTTAACGAACAAAAACAAAAAGTCTCAACTGGGGCAAAGTTTTGTTACACAACCAAGCATTCTTGTAAAATGAGTCTGTTAACACGTTGGGCACCGCGCATGTTTTACATTTTGAGACCGCTTGAGACATCAGAGGATTTTTTTAAGAATCTCACCGAGCAATTTGGGAATGGAAACTGTTGAATTATTCAGAAGAAATCTTATTGAATGAAATGGAAAGAAAAGCTCAAGGGAAACTCAACACCTGTTCCCAAAATGGACGCCGTAAAGTTCTACAAGTTATAGACTGCCGCCCACATATGGGCTGGATGGGCCTAAAGTGTTGATGTGCGATGCTCTCCATCTGCTCAACATAAAAGTACGATTCAAGTTTTAGAAAGAAAAACAATACTAGATTTAAAGCCACGAGTCAGGCTCAGTGGACCAAACCAATCACTTTAGTCGTCTATGTGCATGGCTACGCACCCACAGGGACGTTGCCATGCTCAGAATCTCAAAAGGCGCCGTAATAACGCCCCAGGGCATGCATTAAGCGCTCGCGCCGCCTGGAGGCGCTCCGGCCGCCCACCATGGGATGTGGTGCATGGCTGGCATAACGTGTGAGATCAGCTAGGTTGATTGCCGTATCAACCGATAGAACGACTGATATCTTCAGAAAACTTGTTTGTACGTGCCTCTTTCCCAAGCCAGCCTCCTTCACTGCTAGTGGGAAAGAGGGTTTTGTTAACGGCCTTGTCGACGGTTTTTCTCAGTTTTTTCTCCACTGTCGTTCCACTTCGCATCTCTATACTCAGTTTCAATCGCCATAATACCCCCTTATTGAGCCCGACTTTTGCCTTTAAACATGAATTAAATTGCAGAATGGTATAACAAATGAAAGAAAGTTTGGGTGCCTCAACCCCTGATCTCCTAAAGAATCTCATTGCTGAGAACATCGCAGCTTATATTCTGTACCGAATAGAGAGATCAATCGGCTATAGGTTCCCATAAGCAACATAAAATCCAAGGTGGAAATAATGATCTACAGCGGTGCAAAAAAGTAAGCTCGATCTATCTGATATCTGTATAGATTTAAGAGAAGCTCCAAGGTTTATGAGTTCCAAAAAATGTAGAAAGGACAGAAGATTGGGTAACGATAATCACTTTCAATGCCTTTATTTCTTACCTCTAACATGTGGTTGACTTATTACGAATTAAGGTAGTATCGGCACGTGGTACTCTTCAAGCCGCACTTCCGCCCTTGATCACTCGTTTCCATTAAGTCCATTTAGCTGTTCACGTCTGCAAGGCTCCTGCAGCATGTGCATGCATTTAAAGAGTGGTTTCGTTCTGATAGCAGAGGAAATGAAATGAGAACGATGTCCCCCTCTTTACAACATTGGAGTGAAAGAAAACCACGTAGTAGACGAACGCGAATTTCTCTGCCACCCGTTTTTTGAAGCCCGAAGTTTACTGCGTAAGATGTTGCAACGTGAGTGTCTGTTCGAGACATCAACAAAGTTCATCACAGCTGGACAGTTCGATCTGATAGAAACGTCCCCTCTCGTTGTATCTAAGCTCGCCATCGAACGCTTAGAGAATGAGCACTTTTCGTGAAGAATTTGAGGAATTGTTAGTCAACCAAGCAAAAAGTGAATTCCTTTAGAATTCTTATTTTGCTCACTACCGAATAATAGGGGATTAAAAAATAATGGGCGGTGCGACAGCCTAGCAAAATTTAATGGAAATGATTACGATAAAGAGGTAAAGCATCGGGAAAACGTATGTACTACACAAAGCACTTTGCTGCCAAGAAGGGTAAAGCGACACATCCCATGTGGTGGCAAGCCGGTTGTTACTCATTTTCAAGCATATACGTTAAACTAGTGCTATTGCAACATTTGACCATTCTTTGACAAACAATAGTGCGCAGTTCTTACTCAAGCTTATCGCTTGCCAACTTAAAGACAAAGCCCGGGATCGTAGTTTCCACATCCGACCTTTTGAAGGCCTTAATTTCAGCGATCCCAAAGATTTCTCTAGCTTTCCTTTCCATTTTCAGGTCGTGCCGCAACTAAGTTACCACTACGAAGCGCTCTTATCATCGGTTTCATCCCAGGGCATGCCTTTAATGGCTGTGGACTTCGACATGCCTGGATAACCTGCTGTAGAATATCGTGAGATTCTTTACGAAAGACAGCTTCTAGCAATCTAGCCGAACTGCTTTGCTTTATGCAGGCAGTCAGCTTCAATTTGTATCACACTGGAAAATTCGTTACATTTAAATCGGAAAAGTCACCAACCGTCTTTATCAGTCATGAAGGGGACAAACTGGCTCGGCCTCGGAAAGCTTGCACTGAACTCGATCCTTGAGCCAGTTCTTCGCCATTTTGTTGTCAATAGTTCGGCACATTCTGCAGTAGAAGTGTCGCAATTCCCTTTTAAACAGTGAATCATGATGAGTTTGGCTGCCTATAGGTTATCCAGGTAATGCCTTTGCTAGGTTTTCCTTTTGAAATCCCACGTTTTTACCCCTCTACGAACCTTACATTTCTTTTCTGGGCTCGCTGAAAGACTACTGAATTTAAAGTTGGCGAAATAGGGTCCAGTCGGCGGAATTTCGAAACCAGCAATTAGCTGAAGCCCTCTTTCCCATTGAGAAACCAGTCAGTGATGCATTCCTTTCTTATTCCAAACATCTTCTTAATAGTCCCATTTAGGTTGTTAACCAAATCGTTTCAAATTCGGTTTTCCCGCTGAAACTCGATTTTTCACCGTTTTGGACTTTGACTCTGGGCTCGAATAGTTTTTAACCTCGAAGCGTGGGGAGCAGGTGTGACCTTAGGAGGGCCTATATTAGTAGGTGCATGTTGGTTGATTTCAACGCCTTTTCAGGGGAAATTCATTTTGAGGGGAAGTGCAATTCTTGTCGACTCGACCCCTCATGAGGGTCCCAAATGTTTCACGAGGTGATCCCAAAAGTTTCTCAACTTCATGAAGAACATAAAAACGAAATATGTAATCAAATAGAGCACGAGAATTGTCTCAGGCTACATAAATTGGTGTAAAAATATGGGGTCTTCGGAGGGAACTCTCGTCTAAGAACTCCAATGGCTTAGCGGTCAACCAGGAGAACAACTTTTCAAAGGAAACACAACATGGGTTCTTGAACAACCCACTATCAGAGTGTCTAGAAGAAGTCGTGATCGAGCAAAAGCACGTCATCGCTCTCATTTTTCAGGCCTGGAAATTGACAGGTTTCATAACCAATGTATCAGACAAGAAGCACACAGTTTCGTAGCTCAAATGGAGAAAAAGTCTCTTTCGGGCGGTGTACGAGAGATTTCAAAACCTGAGACTTAGGGGGAAATCCATTTGAAAAAATCGACACTTCTCACCTAGCAACCTGATCTTTTGTAACGACAAGGGCCTTCACAGAGGACATATTTGTAAGTACAGCAAGTGGACCACTAGTTACAATTGCACACCAGTCATTTCGGGAACACTAAGTTGTAGGCGAAAGGTCTATTTCGGATGACTTTTGTTAAATTCCCTTGCGATCATGCACTCAAAATTAACCGTAATTCGAATTGTGGAGAGATCCTTCGAATTCAGGGATATTCCAACTTACAAAATTGTATCCCAGCGCTATCGATCCCAATACCATCACTCCTTGAAAACTCCAAGTGGGCAGATAGTGTAGGTGTCTGCAGTAAGTTCATGGCTTTACAATTCTTGAGACCACTTTAGGATGAAAGGACAAGCTTTAGATAAACACAAAGCACTTCGAATTATAATAATTCATTTCAGTAAACGACAAGACTACGCAAAAATCAACCTAACTGCTAAAGTGAATTACTCTTCAGCAACTGGCTTGGCGGTGTTTACCACGCACACGGTTCTGGGAGACGATCCATTATCGTATTCCATCCAGAACGAAGTTGTGTCCACGCTCTGGAATTTGATAAATTTCATCAGTCTTTTTGGAATAATTAAAACATTCAAGGCATCAGATGGCCCCTGCAAGTAAACTTCATTAAATGACATTTTAAATGCTACCACGAATCTGAAAAGAGGTGAAGGAGTGGGCTTGTGGGGCGCGTAACAAAAAGGGAGTCCCGGCACTTTCAAACTGTCGAGTCGCTGATACAACGTTCAAACGACAGGTACACAGTTCGATTCGCTGGTGCGACGTTCGTACCCCAGCAAACCACTGTTCGCTCGCTAGATTCGCAGTCTGACAGCGGCGGTAGAGTGTTCGCCGCCGTACATCTGCTAGAAGTATTCTATCAATATCGTAAATAGTTAAGAATTTATCATTGTAGCTTAGCACAACCTCTCATTTCCACCTGTCTGTCATGGACGTTTCCGTCCTATCGTTGGAGTAGTACCACAACCTTTTCTGCCTTGATGTAATCATTGGTTTCTTTTTTCTTTTCGGATACTACGTTTTAGTTCGAATATGAAGAATGTGCAGATTTATAGG